ATGAACTAGGCCTAAACTAAAGTGAAAGATATCGGCACGATTCGACAGGCATTCATGCAGGTTTTCAATTTTTTACAAAAAGGCACTCACAGGTGTTTTTGTAAGAAAAATTAAATAAATTAGCCCAAAGTCAAAAGATTAAGATGGATTTTAAAACAACACCTTTTTTAAAAAACATAAACCAACCCCAAATATCCATGCGTTTTGGTGAAGCGAGTGAGGAATTGCGGTTTGTTTACATTCTGCATAGCAACAGCAAGGGAAATAACTGCTAATGCGCAATCGCGTGTTTTGGGGGCCCGGCATACTAGAAACTTCCCCAATAATTAAATCTTTCGAAAATTGGTCATTACAATGCAAAAAAGAGTTTTGTTTAAAAGAAGGAAATTTGAATAATTAGTGGATTTTTGACCCAAAATATACTTCAATTTTTTTTTGGGGACAACCTTTGTATTAGGAGTATACTAGATTTATTTTGTATAGATAGTTTTCGATACACCGGGATTTATTTCCCTTGGCCCCGTACTGGAGGTCCAAATGCTCATATTCCTTCATTTTTCAACCAATTTAAAAATTTTTGTATTTGCTATTTTGAATTAGAAATCATTATTTTTCTGAAATATAAAATTTTTGAAAGCATTTTTTATTTAAAAAAATTATTTATTAAAATTTTCAACCAAATATATCTGCTACAACTTTTAAAAATTTGGTAAGACAAAGAGGGATAATCCTAGTCGACCTATATGGTGCCCAAAGGGGAGGTAACTTTGCTAAATTTAGGCCTATCGAAAACTATCTATTGTATACTTTATTTACAGGGTTGATGACATTATGATAAACTTTTTAAAAAAAAGGGTAAGTGTGAAAAGACAAATACTAAACCCAACTCTACCTACCTCACCTGCCCATTTTCCCAAAACACAATGAAAATATTGCAACGTTGTTGATAACGTATAGGTGCCTTCTTTTTATCATATCTGATATGTTTTAGTCTAAAGTGTACGATATATTAGGGTTTTAAATAAGTCATTAACTTTTTTTTAATTGACGGCGATCTTTCATATCAAATTGCTAAAAAAACACTCACCTTTTCCCCAAGTTTCAAATAGGCAATAGAACAAGTATTTTTAAATAGCTCCTTTTCTTCACTAAACAATCAACCCAAATTTAAATAAAAAAACTTCTGCAGTTTTTTTGTCTTCATAAAACCGTGTATAAATTATTATATGCTTCTGCAAAGGAATTTCCAAGATATACGGTTAACTTGACAGCTGTTCGTTGCTGAATACGACTGCGTCAACCATATTTTGTCGCAAGTAATCGTCATATTGACGTTATTTTTACATTGTGACGTCACAAAAAGTTATAGAACTTGTGTAAGACCCTATGTATGACAAACAAACTTTATTCGGTAATAACCAATATTTGCCCCCCAAATCAAACTTGGATGGAGATATATTTAATTAAGCTCTTAAACAGGGGAGTTTATGCTGATTCAAAGCACTGGATATTTTCATAAGTAATGACGCCATATGTGCGTAATGAGTACAAACATGACGTAAATTTCAGTTTTTTATGAATTTTAAAAAAAAATGTACATAATTCGTCGATATTGTGGAAAGTCACCGAGCGCATGTTTTCAGGATCAAATTTTGATATTATGTGTAGAATATAATATCAATAAAAATGTCAATATTTTCCTGAACAAACTTGCGCTCATAAATTTTTAAGCTAAAATTGTTAAATTTTGTCCATTTTGTCCTTTTTCTGAAAAAGGATATAAAATCGGATGTTTGTGCATATAAAAACAAAAATTGTGAATACACTGCTTTGACACTATAATATTTTCTGTTAATTTATATTTCTCATAAATTTATTGAATTCGCACATTTCAGGAAGTTCTTAAAATCTTATTTTTGGGGGGGGGAAAATTATGTTCTCATATAGTTCTTTCATTCTGATTTGAAAATTGATCCGTTATCAATGCAGTGTTGAATGATTTATGTCAGTATTTAAAGCAAGTATTAAAATTTTATAAGATTTTTTTATATAACGCTAACATTGTCTCTTAATTTATATGGTAAGGAGTATAATGCCAAAAATCATTTTATTCTACATAGATATTCAATTACATACTTTGTTCAAATATTTTAAAGTACCTGCAGAATTTTGTATTTTTTGTCTCTATTATCAGTCAATACAGTACAATCTAGGGAAAAATTAAAAACTTTATGGACCTGAATTTTTTCCAAGAAGTGGAGATTAAAAAATTTTTCATGCATATATTGGAAGACCGCAAATAATAATGACAGTAACTAACACAACATATAAAACAGATTTTAAAATGAAATTTTTTTGCAAAACCCGGATCTGCCAATGTTTTATTTGAAGTTAGAAATATATCAGTAGAAGATGCAGGATATTACGTAGGAAGTGGAAGTGAGCAAAGGCCCTTCTTATCAGCGAAGGGGGTTGTTCTCGTTGTTTCTGGTAAATCCTTAAAACATCATCTGATAAATAAAATTAAAAATATAAGTTTAAAAACTGAAGTTATGAGAAAAGAATTCACGAATTTAAAAGGTTTGTAAACAGCAATAATCCACCTCTCATTTCCTTCAACATTAACATTTTAATGATAATTTATTCGGGAAAACCAGAGAAACCTAAAATAACGGGAGCCTGGAAATTAAAGGGGGAAAGAAATGCCACCCTGAAATGTGAAAGAAAATTACATCTGCCCCCGACATCATAAGTTCCCAGCATTATCATTTTTGGTTTTTTAAATGCACAGAATAAGCGGAGAACAAAGTGTAAACTACAAATTTAAGGTTTACAGAAATGACAGCTACAAAGGGTACAGTTGCCAGGCGAAGGAAACTCTTAATCAGAAAGAAGTGACGAAATTAAAATAAACATTTTGTGTGGGTATATTGCTAAATCTTCTTCTGTACTTTTATAGAAAACGTCAATTTTTATCCCCCGTTGAAAAGTGGGGGATATTATTTGGGTTGTCCGTCCGTCTTTCTGTCTGTCTGTGACGCTTCCGTTTCCACACGATATCTTGAGAGCTCTTTAGCTTTTGCAATGAAATTTAATAGCAACTCCGTATGGACGAAGAAGACCCTATTGATTTTAAGGTAAAAGGGGTCCAAGGTCAAGGTCATAAATAACAAATTCTGTCTGTTATAACACTTTCGTTTCCACACGATATCTCCAGGACCCTTTCAGCTATTGCAATGAAATTTTACATAAAAACTCCCTGTTGACTAATGAAGATCCCTATTGATTTTGAGGTCAAAAGGTCAAAGTTTAAGGTCGTTAATTTATACATTCTCTCTGTTTGCAACAGTATCATTATATTTTAAGAAGATTTTGAGCGGAGGACACAAATTTTTAAAGCTTGTTTTATTAGTAATTATAGTATTACATGTCGCTTTTTTTAGCACAGTCGCATGAGGAATAATTGCGATAAAATGGGTTTCTGGGCGCACATAATGTTCTTATTACATCTATTAGAGCTGTTTGATAAAGGTATTAAATAAATGAAACACCATGGATTGTATAAAAAAGATGGGCCATTTGGCGGGATTTCAGGAATCTTTGTACGAAACATTTATGGTTTAAATATCCATGATTTGGTTGGCTAACATAGCTTGTCAGGTTTACAAATTTTTTTCAATAAGTTTGAAAGTTTGAGATTGCAACATTTTTTTCCGTTGTTCCTATAACATATCGTTATGTTTCACAAAAAATTAACGGCTAAAATATTTAATGCATATAGATGCATAATACTTGTACATGTACATTATATAAAATAGAGGATTGGAATTGATTTCACTCGAGAACCAAACTGAACCAAAATTAATCTTATTCAAAATTTTAATATATCAGTACATAAAACGAAACTGACAAAATAAATGGTTATTTGCACGAAAAAAATAATTAACGCCCCATGCCAGGCTCGAACCAAAAACTTTTCAATCCAAAAACTGAAAGGAGCCCAACTTACTGAGCTCTCACCGCTACACATACATGATTGATTTTAAAAAGGGCAATGAACACCACACACACATTTGGATTTTTTGGGAAAAGTTGTTTTTCGGGTTTTTTGGGCTTTTTCCAATTTTTTAAAAAAATGTATTCGTTTCTATGAAATTAAAAAACCACAAATAACGTTTCAAAATCATGGAGAGAAACCAAAAAAAAATTTTAGAAAAACGTGTTTAAAAATGTACCATTTTGTACAAAATGTATGGTCTGGCCAATTTTCAAGTTATTTTTTACAAATCAAAGCTCAATTTCGGGATAATATTTTCCTTTCCTGTTGCACAGGAACCCGATAAATAAATAAAAATTATAAAAATTTCATGTGACTTGTCGATAAAATATCACTTTTCAAATTTCCCCAATTTCCTGCCAATGCCAATCAAAAACGCTCCGTTCTTTTGACAATACCGAACATGAATATTTACATGTATGTGAGTTCACTTTTGCATATACTTGACTCCACGTAAACATTCCGCGGTCAGTGGTATGTCCCTCCCTTCACATGTGAGAGGTCCCGGCATCGAATCTCGGACATCCTTTTTTTACTTTTTTCTTTTTTTTTACTAAATGATAGTATTCAGCATGTGAAATGAAAAATTTATGAGGTTATAAAATCATCATTACGGTGTGATAAATATTCCATATAAAAAGAATCTTATCAACACATAATAAAGAATAAGCAATCAAATCTTTATATCCATATTGACTTACATGAATTTCATTTGTTTTAATATACATGTATACATTTAATAATTCTACAAATTCAGTCAGGGGGGTCCGATTTCTTCCTCTAAGTGGAGGACACGAATTCTTTGAATTAGCTTGTTAGATTAAGGTAAGTGGAAAGGGTTTATATGAGTAATACTTTCTAAAGTAAATATATATGGAATTCAATTTACAGCCCAGTCACATCTTGCAGGATATAACGATAACTGATGAGTATTTCTTTCTATCCGTAGTTGTTTCTGTTGGCATACGTTTCTTATCTTGAAAAGTTCAATCCGCGGGAATAACCGTTTTAATTTACTTTGTTTTTTTTTTCGTATGGGATGCGATTATCATATTCATTTTTTTTATTACAATGCTAATCTGAAGTGTCTGAATCAAGTTTGATTAGACCTTTTTAAAGTTATATATGATAGGTATATTTAATTGCTAGTTTATCTACATGCAAGTTTATAAATACTAGTTATATAAAACTGTACTGATAAATACAGTTGTATGCCAAATATTGCGTTGTTTTCCATTTATTTTTTTCTGGTAATACATGTACTTGATGAAATATTTACAGTCTCTTACTTTGTGTCATATTATATTTGTATGGGCTAGCTTCTGCTGCTCACTTGCGGTACCAAGTCATAAACTCACTGAAATGGTCATTTATCAGCAAATATTTTCGGAAATACAACGTAAGTTTTTTATTATTATATGCATTCCTCTTTTCACAGACGGCCCAAGAAGTGTCAGGATATCATCAAAATCGCTCCAAGACATAATAACAATTAGAGATGGTGCTCCACTAGGTCCGTACAACTGCTCAGCTGACTGTAATCCGCCTTGTACCGTACAGTGGAAATATAAACGTCCGGAAGGAGATATGAAAAATGTTACACCCTATGGGAATTCACCATTACCTTTACCAGATCTAAACGCAGCAGAACTAAAATGACTCTGATTGATGTGTAGCTAACAACAGTGAAGGACGCAAAATGATGATTAGTTAAACATTCTCTGAAAATGCATTTTAATATGTTAAGGGTAAATGTTTAGGTGAGTGCAAATACTTATTCAGTGATAAAAATAATATCAGCCTCTTTAAACTGCAAAATATTGGAATGTTTAGAGCAAGTTGTATTATCGAAAAGTTCAATTTTAACAAAAAAAATCAGTCTACTATTCATCCACAATATCCATGGAATCAAGGTGAGTAAATTATTTTTTTTAAACTTCATTGTTACCGAGAGAAAGAATTTTGCACACAATTCGCAAGAATCACAAGAATTGTTGGTTTAGAAGGTTATGCGAAAAAAATATTTGAGTCAATCTGCAAAGTAAGATATCCTTAGAACTATAGTTTCTTTTTCCATTTCTATTTTAGAACTCATAGTTTCTTTTTCTAATCTGAAATCAGAGATTCGCAAATGGGGGATTGAATGAAAGAGTTATTTCTTATTTCTTTCATTTGTTTTAAAGTTTTTTTTAATTCAAATTCACCGTGATTATATAGATTTTATATTGACAATTTCAAAAATACGATCGAAATAAACCAATTCACATTTTACGAGGGTTGTCTGGAAAAATTTTGGTTAAGTTGTCTATTGTGAAAAAGTAATCAACAATCTGAAATTTTCACTACTCCTTGGTTAACATATAATAATACACATGGGAAAGTTCAAAAAGATATATGCATAAATAAACACTTTATGAGACTTTATATTATGTATCGCCTTACGGCGCACGGATGATAACGCCAGTGTGTCCAAAGCAGAGTCACGTCATGTTTCATCTTTGCTAAAAATAAAATTAGATAGGTCCCACTAACATAAAGAAGTCCATTCGATTCAAAGACTTGAGTCTTTATACAGCTGAAGAACGATGCGATCTTTTGAAGATTTATTAGTAAATTACGGACAATATGTTCACCATCAGTCAACTAACAGAGCATCTTATATCGACGGTCGACAGTGATAACGTCTTTTGTTATTACCATGGCAGTTTGTCCGTATGTTTTGTACTACCAGGGAACCCGATCAAAAAGACTTCGCTAAGAAAACTCCCATTTCATTTGTATACTGAAGATCTGGTAATATTTTCATATATTTCTTTTTTTCTGTATTCATATAAAGTCTTTTAAGGTGTCAATACAACATCTGAATCAAACGTAACCGCTCTCCGGTACGCCGAAACGTCATCACACTACGCCATTTTTTGTGCGTTGTGTTTACCATTTTTACATTTCGAATGCTCGGCAAACTGCCAAAAATTAACCGAATCCTTGACATTTTTAAAAAGACAACAAAATTGGTTGTGGAATCGAAATAGAATAATTTTAATCCCACCCAAATAATGTATTGTAAACCTTTATTTCGAATTAATACTTGTGTATTCTCAATTATAGCCTTGGTTTTTTTACTGTGCGCGGTAGGGACTTACCCTGTGCATATTCAAGCATAATAAAATCTTTATTTTGTCTATATTTTATCCAAAATATTATAATGTCTTTAAATATGATAAACAAACATTTGTCGAAAATTTCAGCTAAGTGTGCCCCTTACTTTTCGAGAAAAACGCTTTGTCCACAACATTACCGTGCAACCCTCGTATGCAAAAGTTTGTTAGATCTGTCTCAAATATACATGTATAAAAGCGTAGGACTAAAACCCCGAAAAAAAATGTCCAAAATATTAATCCCAAGAGTTGTCCAAAAGGAAGGGGTAAAGAAAAAAAAATGACTCTAAAGAAAGAGTTAAGATACAATGCCATTTCCGGCAAAAAGGGTATTTTTCCTAAACCATTGGTCAAATAATGTCATTGACGCGGTTCAAAGAACTCTGATTTGTGCAATTAAGGAAAAATAGTTAGGTCTAAAATTCGTTGACAATTTAATAAAGACCTCATAAATCAGTTGAGCAGAAGAGAATGTAGCTAACTGATGAAGATTTGAACAAATGAAAGGTCATTAGAGAAATACTGGTAATTAAATGCGTCAATTAACTAAAATGATTTTATTCTACATTTATTCTAAAAATAAGGACGTCGACGCTCAGGATGGATTCTATACTGAAGAATCGCAAATAAAAGATGTTGCGAATAATAATTAGTTTTAGTAATTATTTTGATGACTTCTTTCAAAAAATAATTATCTTGGGATATTCATAAATAAAACAAGATGTGTTTTTTGAATCACTATGCGTCCTGCGGCAACAATGTTAGAAAAAGCTAATTTTTTTTTTCATATGGGTCACAGTCATTGACTTTAATTTGTTGTCATTTGAAAGAACTTTATTTGTGTAGTATGCATAACAAATGTTAAGTCTTTATCTCTCATGGTTCAAAAGTGTTTGGGAAGGTTAAAGTTGACAACAGACAAGCAAACAGACAGGGCAAAAACAATATATCGTATCTATCGATCTGGCTCATAAAAAACTTTATTGGTGAAAATCTCAACCATAAAATTATTTTTACTTCACTTCTAATCATGAAATACCCTATTTTAATTATGGGTGAATCTATGATCTAAAAAAAATCTAAACTTTTATTTTTATTAATTTATGTTTATTAGTGAGTTATGTTTATATAATCTACAACTATATTTCTCCAACCAAAGTTAAGATTTTTGCAAATAAACTTTCAAAGATTCATTTCCTTTTTTTGTCCCCCGCTTGAAAAGTGGGGATATTAATTTTTTGGGTTTGTCCGTCCGTCCGTCCGTCTTTCTGTCTGTCTGTAACGCTTTCGTTTCCACACGATATCTCGAGAACCCTTTGAGCTTTTGCAATGAAATTTAGCATAGCAACTCCCTGTGGACTAAAGAAGACCCCTATTGATTTTGAGGTCAAAAGGTCAAAGGTCAAGGTCATAAATAAGCAAATTCTGTCTGTTAAAACACTTTCGTTTCCACACGATATCTCTAGAACCATTTGAGCTATTGCAATGAAATTTTATATAACAACTCCCTGTGGCCTAATGAAGACCCCTATTGATTTTGAGGTCAAAAGGTCAAAGTTCAAGGTCGTCAATTTATACTTTCTCTCTGTGTGTAATACTATTATTTCCGGGCGATATTTCAAGAAGATTTTTAGCTAATGCAATGTAATTTTATATCAAAACTCCCTTGGACGTCTCTCGCCCCTCTCAAAGTGCCCAGCCCCGTTTTATTAGTATTTATAGTATTACATGTCGCTATTTTTAGCGCAGGGGCATGAGGAGAGTTATTCGTATAAAACAGGTTCTCGGCGGACTTTATGTCTTATTACATCTATTAGAACTGTTTAATAAAGGCTAAATAAATCAAACACCATGGATTGTGTAAAATTTTGAGAATACCGAACATGAAAACATGAATATATTATAAATGTATGTGACTTCACTTCTGCATATACTTCATACCACGTAAAGCGATTCCGTGGTCTGTGGTTATGTCTCTCGCTTCAAGTGTGAGAGGGTCCGGGATCGAATCTCTTCGAACCTTTCTTTTTTTTAAATACTTTTTTTTTTTACTAAATGATAGTATTCAGCATGTGAAATAAAAAAATTATGAAGTTATAAAATCATCATTACAGTGTGATAAAAATTCCATATAAAAAATCTTCTATACACATAATGAAGAATAAGCAATCAAATCTTTATATGCATATTGACATACATGTATTTTATTTGCTTCAGTATACATGTATACATTTAATAATTCTACAAATTCAGTCAGGGGGAGCCGACTTTTTCCCTAAGCGGGGGACACGAATTCTCTGAATTAGCTTGTTTGTTATAAAATCCATTGGAAATCTACCTCGTTTACATCCCTATAACACACACTAAACCTTAATGTTACTTAGAATGTAAATACATCATAGAAATCATATTCATTTCTTTATTTTAGCTCAATGCAAATAAACAACAAGTACAATGTACCCTATTAAATTATTGTTAATACAAGATTTATATGTTTACATATATTTTTCTTTTAAGGCAATTAATTCACAATAAAATTAATGAAATTATAAATTATCAGAAAGAAAATTTGACAAAACTAAGCATTGGATCTCTTTCTTGAATGTACCCGGTAGCTGTGGCCCTACCACAGGACACGGTCGTTCCCACAAATTATCATACCATTCATTGTCGACACGGCCGGCGTCAAACGACTTCGAAGAAATGTAATGTTTAATTAAAATAAAAATTTTTTTATGAAGGTTATCTATACCGTATAACAGGTATTTTCTGCGGTTGTCCGATTTTTGCGGAATTTTGCGGATACAAAAAATCCGCAAAAATTACAATCGCAAAAAAAAATTTAATATGACTTCAAGTATTTTATACATGCAAGTATGATAAGTGGTGTGTCTGCAGACTCACTCGTTTGCGAGAAAATTCGGGTGACATGGAAACTCTGATAGCTGCAAACAAAATATGACAGTTTTTCTTTCTTTCTTTAAAATTTTCCACTTTTCAATTTTGTGTTTTGTCTTGAAACCGTTATTACTTCTTGTGTTTATAACATGGTTTGATTGTCTCGTAAATTTCATTCAAATCAGACGTCTGACAAATTAGTTACGAGGTGTAACTAATGCGCATGACAAGTGTGATTTTTAGGGTGGTTGATCATGAAACTGTTTGTTTAAGTTTAAAATGAAACTCTCAATTTAATTTTGATGGCAATTAATTTTAAGTTTATTTTAGATTATGGCTTGGAGGTATTTATTATCATTATCTATATACTTATTAAAATTATTTTGATAGATAATATTAATGAACGACTGCGATCTTAGAATAAAGATTATAAATTATTGTTTGAGTGAACAAGGTCTGTTACTACAATAATTAATTCCAGGACTATGCATAATTTTACAAAGGGTGACTTTAAAAACTAGTAGTTTAATAGCGCAATGCCTGTTCTCAAGCATGTTTCATTCATGTGCCTGAATGAATTGACAAAACGTAGTAATTGCAGTGTTCAAATAAATCTTAGAGTAAATAATTTTTTGCGGTAAAGTGCAACCGCAGAAATTGAAAAAGCAGATACGCAGCACAGTTAAGGTTACAAAAAGGAGGCGGAGCCTAATTTGTACGGTAAAATTTGACTATGACATCATTCACAATATACGTCATACAACATTTCTTTGAAATACCACAAAATGAGTTTATCTGCTATTTTAACCAGTAAGAAATCATCAATCTACATAAAAACTTTCTCCAGCGTGTTGTTTTGTCGTTAGTTAAATTCCACATAACAAGTTATAAACAATTCACTGATCGCAATACACTTGTCAATATGACGTCATTTCTTACAACGTGACGTAGTTTGTATGCAGTGAAAGACAGATCAAGTAATATTTTCTCAACAAAATATATGTTCTCTAATTAAATAAAATATTATTCAAAGATATTCTATGGGCCAATAACTTGAATTTAATGTGTTCTTCACTATTCTATTAACATATTTTTTGTACATTACGTATTTAATTGACACTGCCGTATATTTGTATGCAAGTACATCGGTGGGTAATGTGGGGGGTCTTAATAAATCGATCTAGTGCAAGGGCATACACTCTATGGATCAAAGTAAGCTTTTACATTTCAACTATAGAACTTTTAAGGTATCTGAAAAGTGCTGCGATCCTGATGAAATCTTAAAAACAATTGAATTATATCAATATTTCATGCCGCTGACCAGCAAAAAATATAGCATTCGGTCATGCAAGTATAATTTTAACAGTGAAATTGAAATTTAGACAGATGCAGTACTCTTTAGAAACTACAATGAGTGTTGAAAATATTTATATACTAAACTTGGAAATTTAACTTGGTTATGCCCTTGCACTTGTGATATTTATATGTAACATCAATTCTTCAAGTCAATGTGCGAAAATCGCGTGACTGCCGCATCACGTGACTAGTCTAAATATAAAATATAATCGCCCTCGATATGTAGTTATTAATCATAAAAACAATTATCCGATATAAATTATGTACTAAAAATTATCGCCATCCCGATTACGAATACATTTTTAAATACAAAATTTAGTCGATGTTTCCATTGCGCACCTTAACTGTACTGCGTATTACTTTGCTACCTTTTAGGGGTTAAATCGCAAAAAAATCCAACCGCAGAAAATACCCGTTATACGGTATATCGTATAAAATAAAAAAAAAACAATTATACAAGCAACATTTTTTAAACAAGTCGACCTTTTATCGAAAGCTTTTTATCACTTTGCAGAATACTATTTTATTGCAGATTTATCGAAACCGGTGATCTTTCTTAATAATAGTACCAGACTCTGTCAAGCATCACAGAAGGCCATACTCTCAATATTTCGTGTTTTGTGGAAGGCAATCCCACCCCCACAATAAAGCTCAGCAGAGTCTTGAAAGGGCATATCAATGAACAACAAGAAAAGTACTGGCTGAACTACACTATAGCAAAAGCTCAATGTTCTGACACCGGCACCTACAGATGTACAGGAAACACATCATTTGAAAGTAAACATGAGGAATTGACTGTAAATGTGACGTGTAAGTATTAGAGATTTTGAAGGATATTTATCTTCAGGTATATCACATGTCAGCTTATTAAAAAAATTCAAGCAGAACCTCTTACTTCAAAACTATTCATTTTAATTCAAATTTCATAATATATTAAAAGTCAACAGTGTAAATTATTCAACATTCAATGAAAAAACTGCTCAAAAATCTTCAAATTTTTACTCGGAGAGTAGTATCTTGTATGAAATACTAAATGCTACGAATATTTAATAAAGTTTTTAAACTTTTAAAATTTTTAAAAAAATTTTACACCTTCCCTCAACAAACTTTGACAATAAATGAAGATATCAAAAAAAGTCAATATTAAATGTACTCCATTTATTTTATTGCCTATTAAGATTTTTGATACCCTAAATACATGTATGTTACTTTTTAGTGCAAAAGGTAAAACAATAAAGGACGTGCTATTTATTTTCATGTGATCATCATTACTGCACAGAATCGAATACGGTAGACGTATTATATTTGGCTCTGCATTCTTGAAAGAGCTTTGGTAGGAATCAGATTCTGCAAATTTAAGTACAACACTAAGTGTATTTGGACACAAACACATAAATAAGAACACTAGATTACAACGTTTAATCAAATATATGCTAAATTGTCCTCAAAATATTTTACACGCTCATGATAATACATTTCCAGCATCAAGTTTTTTTTATGTTCTAATCTATTTTTCCGTCCCCCGTCTGAATAATTAAAGTATGTAGATAATAATGGTAAATTTCAGTAAAAACAACATTAGAACAAAATTAACAATAAGAAGAACATATCCAATCCCTTAAAATTGCAAGTAAGGCCTGCAGGTGTCAAAAAGAGAGAACATCCTCTGTTTAACGGTCACACAACCGTTGTGCTCCTTGTTAGAACGACCAAAATAAAATCTCCAGAAGACAATTCAATGTTAAACTGTTAAATTTTACATTTGTTTGAAAATGTCAGTTAATATCAACTTAACAAAATACTGTATTTTATTTAAAAAAGTCGTTGTATCGACCAAAGAGTTTGCAAACTTTTTATTTTTCTTTTTGAATTGTTACAACCTTGTATTGTTGATTTGTTTGTGATAAGCTTGGTTAAATACATGCTTTTGTGAATCGACTGGTATGGAACTGAATGGAAATCCTTTTCAATTGATCCTGATAATTTAATATCCAGAATTTTAAAATGGGGCTTAAGGCTTCAAAAGTTGATGAAAATAGTTTAAAATTACATTCTTTCAGAATTGATGCGGCCCAGCAAAAAGTTGTAAATTACTTTTAAGATTCAGACATCACTTCGTGGAAAAAATAGGAGACTAAATTTCCAAATAATTCAATATTTTAAATATGTAAACACACATTTTCAATATCCATGAACATGTCCGCGTATTATTCCATATTTGTTGATGATTTACCTATTCAATCACTGTATAAACAATATTGTTATTGAAATAATGTTTTTTTAGGTGAGCCTCGATTTATACGTCACTCGGGTTGTTTTCAAGACCACCTAGGGGGTCAAAGAGGGCCCAAATGTCAAAGTTGTTGTGACAGTGCCTGTGTTTGAAATCCTTTTCCATCCTCAGTTTATTCAAGAATATCGTGGCAGGGACCTGGGGGGGATTATTTGAATATAAGAAACACAGTATTACAAAGAGATAAGTTTTCTACAAATACTGGATCAACAGTACCATTCCTGTCCATCAGAATTCTTTTGGAAATTACTCATTGATTTATAATGAACAGTCCATCGTCAATATAACTATCAACCCCGAAGGTTTTAATTTTCATACATTTATACATGAAAGTATGCTTTCCCCCTTTACATAGATTCCTTAGGCTTTCAGTCTTCCTTTAACTTAATTACAGATTTGTAAATTTAGTATTCCACATAATATGGTTTCAGTTCCAAATTATTACTTATCAATATGTAATGTAGACTTTACTTTACCGGGCCCCCGATCCGCAAGATCCTCGCGCTCATTGGACTATGAGTAACATTTACGTCACTAATGAAAATTTGGGTTTAAAATTTGCACACTATTCGACTGATTAGGGTTAGCTTACCCCCCCTGGGGATAAAGGGGAGTCCTTGCACAGATTCGATGATTAGGGTTAGTCTTGCATCCTCCGAGAGATTAGGGTTAGTCCTCGCACATTATTCGACTGATTAGGGGTTGTTTGGGGGTCTCCCCGGGAGATTTCGTCTGAACTTTAGTCCTTGCACACCATCGATGAATTAGGGTTAGTAACTCGTTCTTTACATAAGATTAGAAATTCAGTTGTTTAGTAATTTTTCCAAGATCATATAATTCAACTTTAAAGACATTTCGTTCGTTTGTTTACATGGAAAAGGTAACCCAAAGAAATGATACTAAGCATGTGCCGCACGCGCTTCGTTCAGAATTATTTTTTGACGTTTTTTTCCGAATAAACAATATTTATTTATTTATTTATTTATTTCAGAGATTAGGTTAAAAATACGTTTAAAAACGAAGTTTTAAACTGAATTTTAACCGTAGAATTAAATTTTTTGGTAAAAAGGGCCCAAAAAAAACTCGTTTTTAAATTTTTTTTTTCATGCTACCATTCAAATCAAAGTCCCTTCTGCACACTCATTTTAGCGCGTTTTTTGGGGCCCGGTAAAAAATCTTTTCCTTACATATTTCATTACACTATATTTTTGCATGTGATTTGCTAAAGCACTAAGACTTTTTAAAGTAGATTTTAAAGAAACCCATAGATTGCCTGTTTTTTGTTGAATAAATACATTAATAGTGGTTGCCATTTATTTGCTACCAATATAAATAGCTCGTGAAAAAAATCTCAACAGTCGGATAGTAAGCTCGATAAAATTTCAATAAATTTTCTTCTTCTGTACGAGTTAAACTATATGAGAAAAAATTTTGGGTTTTGCTTCGCATTAGACAAAGCTTAAACCCAATCAGGGTAACTGTTACAACTTGGGAGAACATGTTCGTAAATCAAATTTTAAAAAAAATTTAAAAGAAATAGCCAAATTTCAAGATATTATTTATAATTTTGCCAAACCCCCTCAAAATTAAAAATAAACCAAATTGAACAATTATTGGAAATAAAAAACATTCCCTAAAGAACACTAGTCTGATTATGTGTAATAAGGGTTAAAACACTTTGAACTTGACAATCAAATAGATTTCTTCATTGTAAATACAATATGTTTTAATTTTTATGTATCATTTAATTTTGATGATTTGGGGTAAATATATATATATATATATAAAATAGTTTCTCTAAATTTTAATCTTAATTTAATTTTTTTTTACAATATGATTGACAAACATTTTTTCCTCAGTTATGACTATTTTTAAGGTGTTTTAACCATATGTTTAAAAAATATTCACAAAAATGTTTTTTATTCATAATCTTTATTTTATATTTTTGTTATTATAAAAAAAAATATAGTCTAATCCCCTTTTTCTTTATATACTTTATAAGATATTTATATGATAATTTGAATATAGAAAATATTTTTTTTTTATTTTCTTTGAAAAAATACCAAAAGATTAATATAAAATAATTAAGAGCCACTGAAACTATTTTTTTAAGGATAACAAAGTTTTAAAAAAACAAAGTTGGTGTGGCATTCCACCTTAAACAAACTTCCTCAAAAAAGGGGGTACCTTTAAAAGCATTTGGACAAGATACCCGACGGTGAAATTTCTTATATTTTAAAAAATTTTTTCAAAATTTTAAATAAGTTCAAAGACAACTAGGTCCAGACATGGTATGCACAAACGTCATAGTACCAAGCTTTACATATGCAAAATATCAAACCCATACGTCTAAGATGTCAGGACATAAGGGCAAAAGACAGACAGACGGAGAAGAGAGAGAGAGAGAGAGAGAGAGAGAGAGAGAGAGAAAGTGAGAGTGAGATGTCGGGTAAAGTGATCCATAAGTTAGCACTGCTCTGCGGTCGACACAAAAAACTGTTTTTTATTTAAATTCGATCGTTTTTTAGCATTTCCGTGTCACCAAAGTAATTCTGAAGAGTTTGGCACTCACAGTCTCAGATTCTCTTCAAGCTTGGCATATACTATCTTCCTGGGGACTCTACGAAAGGCTGACTTTTACGGTTACAATTACTCTCACACTAGGACAGTCTTCGGAAGCTCTTTTAGGATATGATAATTTAGCTCAACATTTAATTCAACGAAAAACAGGCTATTTCAAAACAGAAATTGTCCCTTTAAGAAAATGACAACTTGCTACCCTCAAAACAAGGCCTTCACAAACATATGCCCATACCATTGCCATGACCACAAAATTTTTTTTCCCTTGTCAATTCTGTACCTTAGAGTGAATGTTTAAATGTTCAAGTAAACAGTAAGTGTAAAAAGTGTTTCTCATAAAAGTCCACTGAAAAACTTTTATATATGACATATTTTTTTTTCTGGGAATCACCATGGTAACCACATTAAAACATTTGTTACCAATATTTTGTACTAATTTGTACATGTCACTTCTTAAGTTATATAGCTTTATCAAGCTATTCAGAATAGCTTCATTTAGCTATTTTATCACATTTTTTTTCCCTTTAAAAGTGTAACATTCTTCATGTACAAAAAGTCGCACCTTGGTGCAGTAATATATTTAACCTTGAACTCTTCTAAAAATAAATGCATGTAAAAATCACTCATCAAATTACGTCTCCTTCAGAGATTTTGTACTCAAAGATCTATAAGTTTATGGGCTATATATAGCAATTGATACAGTTACTTCTGCAATGAAATTCTAAAGGACACCAATCATGGTGAAAAAGATAATGAATTGGAAAATTATACAATGAGAAGCAGTCATACTTATCCATGCCTCACAGGATAGTGGACAATTACTCTGCCAATAGAAATTTTTATTTTGCTTAAAGTATATTACAGCTATCATTAACTTTTGTTGTTGTTTTGATAGCCCATAGTAAATAAAGCTATATAAATACAAGATATTGTAATGGCTAAAATCACACATTTACAACATTTTCCAACCATATTTTAAAAATTTGGGGATTTGTTACTAATATTTTTTTTAAAAAATACAAAATCAACACTTTCAATGGGTATCTTTAATATGTTGCAAGTTATCTGACAACTTTGCAATATTTTGTCAAATACTAGCAAAATCGATTTTTTTAATTTAGTCAAAACAACATTGAGGGGAAAAAAACTCAAAATAAAAAATAGCAGAACTTTCACAATCATCACTTATTTCATCTATTAAATTACAAAAATGTTGAAGTTAACAAAAGAGAAAAAATCAAGCATTTTTAAAAAAATTTTAATGTACATTTCTAAACAAGACCATTCACTGTAGCCTAGTGGTAGAGTTCGCTTCGTAAAGGGACCCCCAGTTCGATTCTCCTTCGCGGTCCCGCGTCATATCTAAGACCAAACATGTTGCAACGTCCTTCGCAAAGCGCTCGGCACTAGAAGTGAAAGTCACGGATATGACGGATATGACCTTAAAAAGGGAAGGTCTCGCGTCACGGTGGCGCTTGCACATAAAGAACCCTCACCTCTCAATGGCCCTGGTGCCAGTATAGGTCTAAATTTGAAGCCCTTCACCAGCATACGGTGACGTCTCTGTGTGAGTGAAAAATTCTGGAATGGGACGTTAAACAATATACAATCAATCATAGAACAAGATGCTTTTTAAATATAAATTCAACAAATACAACTGTAAATCTTTAGTATCAATGAGAAATAAAAAATGTTCATTCATATCTATGGAGAGATAGATAACCCCCTGTTTTAATATAATCTGATATTTGCCTTTATGCTTTATTATTGTTGTTTAGTAAATGGGTCTTTTTTTATAAAGTCTGTAAAACCAGAGCAAAATTTACCTTATTTTTTCATATTTTGTAAGACAACACATACAACCAAAATTGAGATTGAAATTGAATTGTTAAAATTTTTGTTTGAATCTTTAGTATTGGAATTAAACAATAAATACAAATATTATATCTCTATAACAAATCTGTATTAATTAATGATGTAAAAATCCAAATCAGTTATTGTGAGTGCTAAGATTTTTTCGTATTAAAAAGAGGTGAAAAATAAAGGCGACACAAATTTTAAAAAGTTGGAGTATACTGAGATTGTAAAGCCCGTTCCTCTGTTACAAATATTTGATGTAGCCTTTCTCTAATCTGCAACACACCAATTTCACAGAATAGGTTTTAATGAGACTTTCATATAATTATTAAGGGCCATGTTGTGGTATCCTATTTCATTACTTTTGATGAGACACATCTTTTGGGTTTCTTAAACCAAAACATGGACGCTGCAATTCTTTTTTTTTTTATGGGATAGTATCTTTTTTCCACAACTACATGTTTTCCTATATCACTGATAAAAAAATTTTGATAGTTTTCATTTTGTTTTTATAAATTGCAATTGTGCATGTCATACTATATGTTTTGGTAGAACACATATTTTGGGGTTTCCCAAAACAAAAAAAATGAATGTTATTCTACGCTATACAACTGAGATATCAATTCATATTTAATTTCATATTACTTAGTATTATAAATGATTATACATTCCAATTTTTTGTGATAGCTTTATTAATTTTTTTAAAAAATTTTTTTTTCAAGATTCACCAAAGCCACCTTTAAACTTTACCTGGATCTCTGACCTCGAGGAATGAACTTTCCCGGATATAAATTTTAATGGTACGGAAAATTTTCACTTATCACAGATGAAAAATCTGGTGGGATTATTGAAAAACTGAAACTTGGTGAGGGTAACTTGAGATATCATGACCTAGGACCTTTAACTCCAGGACTTGAGTACTTGTACCAGTTAGAGAGTTGTAACAGAATTAATTGTTCTTTGAGCCCGAGAGAAGTTAAAGTCATAGTTAAAGGTGAAGTATCTAACTTTTTATTCTATTAAGTTATCTTCTTGTAAGTTGTGACACGTCATTTGATTGGGTAAAAGATTTAATCCAATTTCTTTTTTTCACAACTACATATACATTTGTATTCCTATATCACTGAATTAAAAAAATATTGATAGTTTTCTCTTTTTTATACAAATTGCAATTGTGCACATCATACTCTATGTTTTGGTAGAACACATATTTGGGTTTTCCCAAAACAAAAAAAAACGAATGTTATTCTACGCATATACGAACGGAGATATCATTTTGTGAGATTGTTATCACATCTCTCTAAAATCCACTCCGCTTGACGTTACTTTTAAAATAAGCTTAAATATTATAAATCTCAAGCCTTTTTCTGGAGGAATAATTGTCTCGTTGTCTACACTAAAATTAAATTATATAAGGAATGAAGCTTATTTCAACTTATGTTATACGATAAAACATTATGTATCGTATAACATAAGTTGAAATAAGCTTCATTCCTTAAATAAACTTCTTGAACTACGTGTATCTTTATTAGCATATTAAGAATAATCCATAAACTCTATTTCTTGACCAAAAAATCTATCATGATATTTAAAGCTCCGCCGATCTCGTCCTCCTCTCTGTTTGGAGATAATACCATGCTGATTTTGGTTGGAGCGTCTGCGGCTGGTTTTCTCCTCGTTGTGGTTCTGACATTGGCGGTGACGATGTATTGTAAAACAACTAAAAAGTCAGCTACGAAGAAAGAAACAGGCAGGAAGGACTCAGTGGATGTAAGCTGATATAGTTTAGATCTACAAGTATATCCAAAATATTACCCATCTTACGTTATAATGAAAATCTGAAGATGCAGTATTTGGTTTTACATTTAATCGTTGCGGATTTGGTGCAGACAACAAAGGGCTTGTAAACAAATATGGAATACGTACGTAAATCATGTTAATGAAATAAACTTAAATCCAAAGTGCTTAATCATGAAAACTATGGAAATAACGATCAGTATTGAATATCAAAAGTTTATAAAAAATAGAGCAAAGCTCGTTGCAAAGCAACGAGTAGGTCTTCCGTCGAGTTTGACCGGAAGTAGCTTTCATTTTAAAAAAAAAATATGAGAAATAAGCCCAAAAATGGAATGAAACCTATAAAGCTATGATAATTAATGCAAAAATAAGCCATTTTTGCTACTTCCGGTTTGACCGGAAGTGACGACGACGGACGGAAAATTAATTTTTATGCTCCCAGAGACATATGTTATTCAAAAGCTTGTCAAGAGCAGCAAAAATACGCGTTTTCCGACTACTTCCGGTTTGGCCGGAAGTGACGACGTCGGACGTATTTTGACGACTCCAATAGATTAAGCTTGACATTTTGAACAACTTTGCTTCTTTAACCTATTACAAATTCTCAATACTTTTTGAGATATAAAGAAAACAATTTCGGCCCCTCTAGGTCCTTTATTTTAGGGGCCAGCCCTTTTTTTCTACATATCATTTGAAAGGTCTTGAAATTCTACACTTCTTCTGTTCTACATGTATTTACAAAATATTTCCAGGTAAAAAGATATTGTAGAAAAGTTGTTAAAAATTTTCAAATTCGCGATAGGCCTATTTTCGGGCCATAGCAAGCGCCGACGTGCGGCACTTCCAAATAAAATGAAATACCATATACATATCTATAGACCTTGGTCTATCATACCTAAATTTTTCATTTTTTAAATCGAGCCGTTATTTAGAAAACTGGCGGAAAAAAGGACCAACTAAAACTCACTAAATCGCAGAAAAATCCGAACCGGAAGTGACGTCATAAAATTTAAAAAAAAAACGCCTTAAGTTCATATAATTTGTCATCAATGCTAAAGTTTCATTAAAATCCTTTCAGCGCATTTCCCAGAAATCGCCTGCACAAAATCGGTAAGAATAATAATAAGAAAAGTTAAAAAGAAACAACAGAATAATAAAAGGTTTCCCTTTTTAAAAACGGAAGCCTTTAATAATTTTTTCCCCAACAAATCATAAAGGTTTTTTCCGTTGGAAACAAATACCTTAAAGGCCGGGGTTTTTTAACCTAGGTTTTCCTCAGGAAATTTGGGTGGGGGGGAAAAGTTTAATCGAACCCACTGAGAAGCCCCGAGGGAACGACGCTGGCTTGTGATACTACCTATATACACAGGATGTTACCTGAGCCCCTGAGTGTATTACCTGTATGGTTTTCCTGACTTTGTAAACCGAGGCCTTTTTTTTTTTCATGTTTAGCTCATGAATTGAAATGGGGAAATAAAGCATTTTTTTGTTGCAAAAAACCTCTCTCGATTTCTTTCTTTTAAAATAATTGATATTTTTGATAATTCGACATTTTTTTATATACAGTGTGTTTCTTAATAAAGTGTTAAAACGAAAATACATTTAGCACTAAAATCTGTCGTTGTAATCTGGCGACAAAAAGGGAAGTAATTCAAATTACACGTCGTCTACGCAAAACGAAAGAAGAAACAGTCTCTCGGAAAATAACAATGAAACTTAGAAATGATGTTTTGAGAATAAAATGTTGAAGTAGAAATATTATTGTCTAAATAAATATCTTTTTAAGATAAACCCTACTTGATTTTTCCATAACGCATGGTCGGTAAAAAGGGCCCCGGGGTCTTTTCCCCCGACAGCTATAAACGGGAAAAGAATCATCTGCATCGTTTTTTTCTTCTTTCGGGATTCATTATTAATTTCAAATATTAAATACAAAGCAAGATGTTATATTCCGAGAAATTTCTCTTTTTAAAACTTATTATTATACCGTAACAGGTTTCTTCGTTACCATGTCTCAAAAAAAAGGACACGTACAGGATTGTCTTATAAATATAAATTCGCTTGACTCATGAACAATGTTACAGTGTTGTAAATTCCCTTTTTTTAAAAAATAATTTTTTTTTTTTTTCCATGACACTAGCTTCAAAAGCAGGTCGGTTTATTTTGTTAATTAATGGAGGAATCAATGTACTTTAACTCATGTTTTGACACTGAAATTAAAATAGTAATCGTGATATGAAATCCTCCTATTTAAAATTAAATTTATAAATTTTTAATATAGCCATGATTTTCTTGTCATTTATTTAATAATTAATAGATTGATAATTTATGGCATATTCTTATAAATTTAAAAAAAGAGAACGATTTGATTGCTTCTTTATAAACGTTGGCATACAGTGCGGTAGGCATCAAAAGCCTGAAAATTAATTCGATGGTCGGTACGATCTCCAGACAAGGTACACAAGATATACACAACAGCAGCAAGCTAAATGTCAATCAAATCAAAGTATCCAATCCCAGGCTTAATTTCAAATGATTGACAGAGGTTCTATTACCAGGGAAATTTGAAGGAGGTGCTTATTTTCCCCCCCCTTTAACTAACGAACTATAAAAATTGAAGATTGATTAATGTACATATAAAATAAATACCCCAGCGTTTTGTTTTAAATCTAACCTAAGATATTTTAAAAAATTTTTGAAAGATTCGATTTTTCTTACAAAAATAATGTTTTCCGTAAGTTTGTAAAATTAGATTTAACATTCGACCACGCTTTGTAAAATAATGTCAACAAGCGATGGAAGGAATGATTGGTCGCGTAATTGTAAACAAACACGAAGCCTAGATAGCTGTTTTAGATAAACATGTATCACGATCAAATTTAAAACAAAGATAAGCCAACATATTAATCTCAAATATCCGAAATAAAATTTTAAATTTAAATTTTAAAATAGTTTTAATACACCAATTATTTTGTCTATGACTACGAGGTCAATGGTTTGCCGCGGGGGTCGCTTTAGATTTTCTTGGACACGTGTAATCGTTAGATTACGCAATGGGGCCCCAAAATCTGTGTTCCAGGTGAATGTGAGAATCGCGCGGTCAATAATTTTTGTATTATTTGACTCTTTAAAAATTCTTTTTATGAATCCGGGGGTTTATCGTTTTCGTTCATATTGTTTGTGTTCATATTTAAACGAAGAAAAGATACTAGCTCGTGCTTTTTCTATAACTCTTTCTCTTGGAAAGATCTTGATTTAAAAAGAAAATGATGCCATTGAATACTTTGAACGGGAACCAAAGAACACGTTTAATTAAAACCTAATTTAAAAAAGAGATATGATACAGCGTTGTAAAATATTTTTTACTTACGGCAAGTTTAATGAACCAAAGAATTTTCCATTAATAGCAAGATGAGAACTGTCTAGCTTTCTTTCCCATAATACGTAAGATTTGAACAAAATAATATTTTCATAGAACAGAGATAGTATTAAGGAACAATTTAATATATTTAAAAAAAAAAAGAATTTAACCATTCTGTGTTTTTATTTGTGTATAACTGTGGGGGCTTGATTAACCGCCGATTGATTCCCGGTGACCGACTTTGCCCCGTGTTATCGAGGGAGGCGCGTTATATAATTGTAAACAAACAAGGTGAATGTAAAGGCGTGCGCTTAGTAAATGAGCATGGCAATTTGGGAAAAAAGCACAAAACACTTCAAGAACTTTATTCTAAAGAAAATTAGCATCCAATGTAGCCATAAATTTTTTTTTTTAAAATAAGTTTGTTTTATATACACGCATTAATTTTTATTTACCAGCTGGGGCGAGAAGAATTACCTGTACAAAATAGGTCATGCATATAGCTCATTTTAAAAAGACTAGAACAAAATAACAATTTCATGATCAGTAAGATGTTAAAGCACAGCTTTATTATCAAAAGTCATACGAAATATTAATCGTTTTTGAGATATATAGCAAAAACTTTCAAGGGCACTTGATCCCTAATTTTAGGGGCTAGCCCCTTTTTAAAAGATATCAAATGAAAGCCTTCAATAATGCACAACTTTTATTCAATATGTTTTAACAAAATATTTTTAGTTTTCAAGACAAAAAGGAAAATATGTGTAAATTTTCGCTCTTTTAGGCGTTCTAATTTTTGCCCCCATATAGCGCCATTTTTAATACAGAAATTGAAAAACAAAAACCGATGTGCACAACTTCAATCCTTCTGTTATCTAAAAGCAGTAAAATTTCTGCTCCAGCTTTTGTGGTCTCTGAGCCTTTATCCGGAAACAAAGCCATAATTTTTTTTAAAAAGGGAAATAACTCATAAGCGGAAGAAAATTTTTTAAAAATGTTAACATATTCTATAAGTTTATTACCATATATAACGTCTGAAAATTTGAGCAAAATCTATTAAGAAATGAGTGAGATATGAGGCCTCAAAGTTGGCGTCTAGGAAGTAGAAAAAAAAAAAAAGAATAATAATCTTTACCAAACAGAATCAGAAAGGTTTCCGTTGCAAACGGAAGACCTTAACAATACAAAATAGGAGCAGAGCATACAGGCCTCCAAACATCTAGGTGGGATCAGATACCTTTCAAAATGGCATATTATTCGCTAAATTATTAAATCTTTTAGGACATATTCCGATTGTTCCCTTTAAAAAAATTCTTATGTCTAAACATATAAATTAAAACCGGTCTCACAAGGAATTTAAATATTTAATTTATAAATGAAAAGTTCTCAGGCCAATTCTTTTAGGATGTGATAAGTTGTTACATAACGGTTATACCAGTGACCCATCCAATTTATATTTGTGCCAGGGGGACGGTTTTTTCTTCATTTTTTTTTTCCTACTGTTCATTGTTTGGGAACAAACGCTGCAGATAACAAAAACAAATTGTCCATTTTGATGATATTTTATGTTAAAAAAAAATGTTTTACAGCCACAGTGCAGGATGATACACCAGCGGATGTTGTTGTGTATGCTGCTGTTGACAAGAGTGTCCTCATGAAGAAAAACAAAAGATGACGTAGTGAAGAGTGACGTCATCAAGGATAAAAAGGGTTTTGAATCTATCTCTCCAATTATTACACTGAGTCTCGAGTTTTTGTTTTTTTTAATTACTCTGAAATTATTCACAATTATTATGTCTTCCTTAATCTTTTCGTCTCCTATACCTTTTTGGTATATGTACAAATACATGTGTTTGTTCTATGAAATATTTTAGTCATTGATTAATAAGATAAAGAAATGCTTTTCTGGCTCAATACGTACCTATTGTTTGTTTAGATGACAACGAAACAGTGTATTCAGAAGTGATAAAACATCCTAAGAAACAACAAACAGATGAAAAAAAAAGAAAAAGAAAAAGAATGAAGAAAAGGAGTTGAAAGAAAACAATGAAGAAGCGGGGACATCTACCCGTAACGACAACTCACGTTCAACGGTATGATAAGAATAGCAAGAAGTAAATAAGAAGTTTTGGTTTTCAATATTTAAAAATAATCCATGTATGCACTTCACCTGCAAAATGATCAAATGGTCCATGTTTATTAAAGTGATCATAAACTGGTCCATTTAAAGTAATCAAAATATAGGCAAGTTAAACATCATGTTAAAGTACTAAGATTATGGTCCTTTTTTTGCTTCATAGAATCAAGATGGTTTAGTTTATATCGATGTTGAATTTGCGAGAAAGCTCCCAAGTTCAGACACAAAGGGGAGACCAGTCATACACGGGGAGGAAGAGAAGACAGAGTACACGTTCGTGGATTTCACCCAAAAAGCGCCGCCTGTACAGGAATCGCAGGAAAATGTCAAGTGATCGTTTGTAGTGAGATGTTAAAACAAGAAACAATTCACAGATGTGTACATCTGAATTTATTGACGACAGAATAATCTTTTTTATATTTATTGTTTTTTTTTTAAATCTTGCATTTCTTTGTCTGCTTGTATTTAGAATTGTGAATTAGATCATCTATTTTCATCATGGATACCGATAGATAATTGCATATAGACTGCATATAATATATTTGCATATAAATCTCCATTAAAAAACATTTTTTTTTAATTATGTGTCTAAAAGGAAGAAAAATAAACAAAATTTTCATTTCATTTTCAAAAACTGCATTCTTCTTTACTTTACGCATTTCTTCGCCCATCGCTAGAAGTCCTGAAAGATTAGATCATTTTACTTGAATTGGGTATGCATGTGTTCAAGTATAAGTATTCATCCACGTCTTTACATGAATTATACTAAAAGAAACCATTGCTCAAAATGAATTGGAACTTCCAATTTACATTCACCAGGAACGAAACAGGTGTATGGTGTGTTGTTTCATAATTTTTTGCACTCAATTTTAAAAAAGTCTAAAGCCCTGTATTATGTAATATTTAACTCCATTAAACACTTTATTTTCAATAGGTACGGACCTGGAGAAATTATTAACTTCAGTCTTCCTGGAATTAAAATAAACTTACGCAATCAAAATGATGTCTTTTCATCTAATTTTTAAAATATATACTCTTCATTAATTTTCATATCATTTCGTACCTGACACAAAGGATTCTAAATTTTGAAAAATTGTTGGGAGATGTTGGGCTTATTTGTCACAAGGGAGAGCTGTGTAGACCTCTACACGTAACACAAAAAAGATAAAAACAAGGTAAAAGCGATGAAATAATGGACCAAAGTGTCACGACTTTCAGGGGGAAAAATGGGGGTCTTATTTTAGAAAGCGCTATATAAGCAAAAATAAAATAATAATAAAATAAATAATGAGAAAAATTATTCAGCCAAAACAGTCTTCTTAGTTTGATAGAATATTTCAGTTTTTTATCACTGTCACAGATTTTCCAACAGAAATATTGTTTACATAAAAGGCCTTTGGATCGCTTTGAAAAATTGTATATGTAAAAAATGATATTTTTAATGACACCACATTTTTTTTTCAAAGCGATGTAAAGGGCCTGTGATTTACAATATATAACATAAAGCCCAAGTGCACAAGGAAGCGAAACTGTATATCATAGTAAAACCTGGAGCGTTTTTATCGAATACTATGCTTGAAAGAGGGAGAGGCATGTTTTCTCTAATAAGCTTACTCCATTATACTCTACACTTATGGTTTTTTTTGTTTAGTGGATAATTCAGATCTAATGAAAAACAAAACATAGAACAATAAGGAACTTCTTGTGATCTAGTTATATTGCTTGCTTAAATAGGACAAAATGAGTATCAAAGTTTGGTTTTCTACACATCCACTTCAACTTATATCAGGATGACTATACAAATTCCACTTATATGTATCGCATACTGCTTTTACATTCTAAGTATGAAAATTTTGTAGCTTGTGCACTTGACCGGATTGGTTTAGGAAGTAAGCGGGAACAAATGTTTCTACAAATACTGGCACAAACAATATTTTTAATTGAAACAATATGAAAGTTAGTTCTTAAAATTTATCTTTTTTTATTTTATCATTTGGAAAACATTTTAGATTTTATGATAATTAGAACAGTTTTTAGATGGAATGTATATTAAGTGTCAGCTCAATCATCATCTACGGTCTATCAAAAGTTTAATTTCTGTTTTCAATTTGAAAGCATCATTTAATGACTGTCAGTAACTCACACGAAAATTTTTCTATAAAATTATTTTAGACGTATTTTTTTCAATAACTGCACCCAGAAAATTTTGCCTGAGCATTTGATTATCAACAGCAAGAGACACTAGTAATTTATTTATCTATTTATTTAATTTTTTGCTCCAATTAAAACCATTACAAAAAATAATCATCATGATCAATGAAATGAACATTTAAACTTGAAAGGATGAGTCTCTTTAAGACGCATTTGTTTATATACATTGCACTTTGGATTTAGAGGGGGCAGGGGGGCTCGGTCTCCTTTGTGTATATTTTTTTCTTGGTATGGTTGTTTGGCCCGACCTAAACCACATTTTAAGTATTTCTGGATCCGCCACTAATTTGTTTATCCATAATAACAATAAAACACACATCATTTTAGTCATTTATTGCAGGTTTATTTTATGAAAAATACAGATATATAACTACATCATTTACAAACAAATTTTTATATTCATAGTAAATTTAAATCACTCATTATATTATGAATTCAGATATAAATACGCTATATTATCCTTTTTTAAAAGAGTGAGAAAAGATAATATTCACAATGATCAAAATTTTAACATAAAAAATTATATATGGAAAGATATGCAGAAAACGAACAGTATTCAATCTCAAAGTCCATTAAACAATATACAAAATAAGAGCAGAGCAAACACGGACCTCCGAAACATTAGAGGTGGGATCAGGTGCCATGGAGGAGTGAGCATCCCCTGCCGACCTGTTTAATGTATTAAAATTCAATAAGAGTTATGCATTGTTAAACAATCGATGTTAATTGAATTAATAATTAAAGAAAAAAATCTCTCAAGTGAAAATCAGATTGTTAGAAGATAGAAATGAAAGAAAATGGATCAAAGATAGTTTTGAGTGAGCGGACATTTACAAGAAAATAAAATGAAACTCGATATCATACAATATCAGCAAAAATATTGTGTAAGGGCAGTTTTAAAGAATTCATACTCTTTAGAGTTATCTGCCCTTTATACAGCATGATCAGTGTAAGAAGACAGATAAAAACATTGATCAAAACGACAGGTTTGAAAAGGAGACAACTTTTTGTGCTCTTCATATCAAGAGGAAAGTAATCCTATTACATGTATGTATTTCACAAGATCTACTGGTCATAGACACTCAACTCAAGTAACAAGGCAATCAAAATTTTTGTTACAGGGGTCTGTAATAGTCAACTTAAAATTATCCCGGATGATCACGAGATACTAGATCGTAGGCAATAATTAACAGCAACAACTATTCAGATATTATAGATGACTTCAATTTATTTAATAAATGATATTTGATTAATCAACAAATAACAAAATAATTCAAGTAAACAATGAAATGCAAGGGAAATGTGAAAATATTTACTCATTGATAAATTCAGCTATTCAGCAATGGGATTAAAAATGGTAATAATATAAATAGGCAGATAAATAAAAAATAGGAGACAAACTCCTAAAAACATAATTAAAAAGACTGAACCAACTGGTCCAAAGCACTTCGTGAAGATTACAAAAAGGAGGGTACTTATAGGGGAGTGAGGGCTTGTTTAAAATCTTGCTTATTTGCAGTAGAGATAAGAATTTCATAGAATTAATCCAGAACCAAGTGCAACTATTTGTGCCCAACAGATGTACAGTTTTTTTTTTCAATGGGTGGCACTGCAGCTCTCCGCGCCTCTTTAAACACATTTTTCCCTAGAGCTACAGTTCTGCAGCTCAATGTGCACAAACTTGAATCTACACTACAAGAGAATGCATCTACATGAGTTTTATCTTTTCTGGCCCAGAAATTTTTCAATGTTTTCTAATGTTAAACTTTGAAACCCCATTATGGCCCCACTATCTCAGGGGGTCATGATTTGAACAAATTTTAAATCTTTACTACCAAAGGATGCTACAACATGAGTTTCATCTCTCCTGGCCCAGTGTTTCTTGACATGAGGATGCTTCGACATGAGCTTCATCTTTCCTGGCCAACTGATTCTTGAGAAGTTTTTTAAAAATACAATTAATTTGTCACTAATTCATAATTATTCCCCCTTGGAAGAGTGTTTGGCCCTTAATTTGAACAAACTTGAATCCCCTTTACAAAAGTATACTTTAAGGAAAGTTTGGATGAAATTAGTCCAGGAGTACTTGAGAAGAAGATGAAAATGTGAACAGTTTATGACAACCAATGACAACGAAGACGACGACAGACAACGGAAAACTTTTGATCAGAAAGTACAATTGAGCCTTCGGCCCGGGTGAGCTAATAAGTAGCTAAGTTTCATATAGAGAATTTAGTTTTTTTTTTACTTAAAAGTTATTATTAGGTCTTCCGCTTCACGGAAGACCTTATAGTGATTCTACTGTTTCTTATTATTATTAAGGTCTTCCGTCTTCACGGAAGACCTTATAGTGATTCTATTGTTTCTTCTTCTTCTTTTTCTTATTTTTTTTTACTTTCTAATTTTGTGCACGCGATTTCTCGAAGACTACCATCGAAGATGGAATTACATGAAATTTTCAGGACAGATGTGTTGTTACATGAATTTATTATATCCGAGAGAAAATCTGGAAACACTTCCGGTGCCAAGTTACGGACAATTTCCTGAAATTGAAATGACATTTTGTCCGCGATTAAACTCAAAAACGGTAAAATATATCAACATGAAACTTTCAGGGATTATAGATCGTGATATATACCATCCAGGACGCGACTCTTTGTTCGTCGTCGGTATCTTCCGTCGTTGTAGGAGAAGGGAATTGAAAAAATCGCATTTTCTAACTTTTTTGTTTTTCAATATTTTTTATTTATTTTTGGAATGAGAAGAGAGACCCTTCAATATATGCTTATTATATAAGTTGTTTGAAAATTGGTTTGTCTGAACACTAGATATTAACATTTGAAAATCTGAAGCGGGACCAAGATGGCGGCTGTCTCTGTCAACTCCGCCATTTCGCGAGTAGGGGTTTATGGAGGCAGCTGAGCGTTTGATTAAGCCATTCTGACAAAAGGATACATGAAATGTAAAAAACTACTTGGACTTTCACGTACTAGTACGTTGCAATTCAGTGTAGTCTTAAAATTTAATTTCCGATTCACTGCTTTAGTGTAACTGGGCCAGATAAGATATGTATTGTTTACAATGTGTGAAATATACTTTCTTTATGTCGAAATAAAATAAAGGCGATAAGAAGTTGTTTTATTTTTCAATTTCATTGAAGCTATCTCACCTATTTAAAAGGTCAGTCCAAAGAAAAGGCATAAATATATTCTCGTGGCGTTTGGCGCTAGGTTATGAATAGTGGCCCGCTTTTTATAATTCTTAGACAGGTGTACTGTTCCAAAAGTATACAGAAGTATATTTAGAGCAGCTTCCCATAGCTTAATGGTTTGCGAATTGGGGATATAAGAGAAAACAAAGCGCATTCACGTTGGCGACCTAGGTTCAATCATCTTTGTTACCAAAATTTTGAATCACTTTTCAGCTCGATTTTACGAGGGATTTTTTTTCTTGAATCGGACGGAAGACCTCTCGTTGCTCGCAACGAGATCGTATCTAGTTATTATTATTATTATTCTTTTTATTATTTTTTTTACTTTCTAATTTTGTGCACGCGATTTCTCAAAGACTA